TTCTTTTTTACATTGTAGAATAATAGTGAAGAATTCAAAACTATGAAATAACACATATGGAATCATGTAGTAACCAGAAAAGTGTTAAACAAATTAGATTCTTCAAATAGCCCCATTTGCTTTGATGACAGCTTTGCACACTATTGGCATTCTCTTAACCAGCTTCATGAGGTAGTCACCTGGAATGCATTTCAATTAACAGGTGTGCCTTCTTAAAAGTTAATTTGTGGAATTTCTTTCTTTCTTAATGCGTTTGAGCCAATCAATTGTGTTGTGACAAGGTAGGGGTGGTATACAGAAGATAGCCCTATTTGGTAAAAGACCAAGTCCATATTATGTCAAGAAACACTAAAATAAGCAAAGAGAAACGACAGTCCATCATTACTTTAAGACATGAAGGTCAGTCAATACGGAAAATGTCAAGAACTTTGAAAGTTTCTTCAAGTGCAGTCGCAAAAACCATCAAGCGCTATGATGAAACTGGCTCTCATGAGGACCGCCACAGGAATGGAAGACCCAGAGTTACTTCTGCTGCAGAGGATAAGTTCAATAGAGTTACCAGCCTCAGAAATTGCAGCCCAAATAAATGCTTCACAGAGTTCAAGTAACTAGTAGATATATGGAGGCTTAAATATCCTGATCTAGTGAGATATACATGGCGGAGACTCAATCAAGCTAGTCGTCTTGACTCCTTTCTTATCTCATTCTCGTTAGCACCAAAAGTTTAAAAAGTGTTGATAGGGGACAGAATGCGGTCGGACCATCATATAATTGACTCTTACTGAATTTCCACGTGGGCGAGGATATTGGAAATTTTATCAAAGCCTAATTGGATGATAATTTATTTATAATTAGAACAAAGGAATTTATAACTGACTTTTTCAGTACTCATCTCGAAAACAAAAGCAATTTAGGTCAAAAGAGTTTATACTAACAAAGGAAATAGAAAGTCTAACAGAACAGACAGATGGCAATAAAAGCTGTAACATAGAGGCTCAGAATAAATTAGAGGAAAAACAAAAAGAAATGGAGAAACTTATTCAAGAAAGATCAAGTGTAATATACTATAAAAATAAAGCAAACTGGATGGAATATGGGGAAAAATGCACAAAATTATTTTTTAATCTTCAACATAGGAATGCTACCAAAAAGAACTTAATGAAACTGGTTACAATTGACGGAGTCACCCACGATTCACCAAATGATATTTTGAAGGAGGAAACAAAGTACTTTATTATATTATGTTATATATATTATTATTATTATACTTTAAGCATATGTTTTATTTTCAGTCGCCTCCATCTCCTCTAACTGAAGCTAATTGTAGAGATTTTTTTTCTATTGATAATGTAAAATTAACAGCCACACAGAAAGACTCATGTGAAGGTGAAATTACAGAGGAGGAACTTCTGGATGCAATTAAAGACTTTAAGTCCGGGAAAACTCCAGGGTTGGATGGCATACCAGTCGAGGTATACCAAACCTTTTTTGATATACTAAGAGGACTGTTATTAGCATGTTTTAACCACTCCTATGTAAATGGTAGATTATCTGACACTCAGGAAGAAGGTCTGATCTCATTATTACTGAAACAGGATACAAGTGGAAAATACAAAGATCCAGTCCATTAAAAAAGTTGGAGGCCCCTCACACTACAGTTTTTTAAATTATATGAGAAATAAATATTCAATTTTATTTGGAATGGCAAGCCAGACAAAATTAAAAGGGCCTATTTATATAATGAATATGAATTCAGAGGACATAAATTATTAAATATTAATGCATTAGACCTATCACTAAACGCTTCAGTCATACAAAAGTTATACTTAAATCCAAACTGGTTCTCAAGCAAATTAGTAAGAATGTCTCACCCAATGTTCAAGAATGGCCTTTTTCCCATTATTCAGATTACAACCTCTCATTTTCAGTTATTTGAAAACGAAATCTCCCAAATATCACTATTTCTAAAACAAGGCATAGAAAGTTGGTTGCAATTTCAATGTAATGCTCCAGAAACGACAGAACAAATAATGCAACAAATATTGTGGTTAAATTCAAATATACTAAATGACAAAAAACCTTTATTTTTTGACAGAATGTTTAAAAAAGGTATAATCTTCATAAATGATATCATCGGTAGGACTGGTGGAGTTATGTCGCACATGCAGCTAACAAAAACATATGGAAATGTCTGCTCTACCCAAAATTACAACCAAATAATTGCAGCCTTACCGCAAAAATGGAAGAGGAAAGTGGAAGGGGGAGAAAGTAAGGAACTTGTCTGTCGGCCTTGCATTAAAAGAACATAATTGGTTAAGGAAAACTGTGATATACTTTTTTATTTATCAGTTTCACTTAAGGACCAAAGGATTGACAGCCATCCCATATAGATTGCAAAATAGTTGGGAAGAGATTTTTTGACGTACCGATCCCATGGCATAGTGTTTATGAACTGACATGCAAAACGACACCGGATTCAAAAATTAGAATCTTTCAATTTAAATTATTATATAAAATTCTTGCTACCAATATACTGTTATTTATATGGGGGATACAATCTTCCCAGCTCTGCAGATTTTGCTGTGAAGAGACAGAATCATTAGATCATTTGTTTTGGTTCTGTCCATTTGTAGCTTGTTTTTGTCATATATATTGGCTAAAGGATTGCAATATTTACCTGGAGCTAACCCTGCAGATAGTCTGAAAAGTCATAGTCAATCGATCAATAATATAATAATACTTTTAGCAAAAATGTTTATTTTCAATTCACAATCTGTAGAAACAATGAGAATAGAAAGGTTCAGAACTTTTGTAAGACATCACAGTACAGTTGAAATATATATGGCAAATAGAAATCCAATATGGATGGTGTTAGGAGATAGATGGGAGGTATTGAATGGAGTTGAAGGATGGGACTAATAAAAAATAACAATAAATAATAACAAGATAACTAATAATGTAAGCATACTGTGTCCATAATAAGTATATAGGTTGTATGTTGGGAGCTTTTGGGAAAGAGCACAGTTAGAAAGATATGGCATATAGAAGCAAACCGGATGGACATCATGAAAATGATCGGAGAGGTTGAGAGTAGAAGTATTTCAGGAGCAAAAACAAATAAAATTGAATGTGTCCATAAGGTGTAGATAGTAAGTATAGGCTGGAAGTAGAGGCCCGGGCATTGTTGTTCACTAATTTACCCCAAGTAGGGAAAGGATGGCGGAGTTGAAAAGTAATAAAGGGGAGTATATATAAAAAAACATGGGGGATTGGAAGTGATGCAGACAATTACGTTGATGGAAGTTACAATCTATCTGCAATATTAAAGCTGATCCATTCCCCCCCCTCCCCCCCCCCCCCCCCCCCAAAAAAAAATAAAATATATAATAATAAAAAAAACTGACATCTCAACATCAACAATGGACATTAGACCTGTAGAAATGTGTCCTTTGTTCTCGAGTCCAAATTGGAGATTTTTGGTTCCAACCGCCGGGTCTTTGTGAGACGCGTTGTGGGTGAACGGATGATCTCATCATATGTATTTCCCATTGTAAAGCATGGAGGAGGTGGTGTTATGGTGTGGGGGGTGCTTTGCTGGTGACACTGTCTGTGATTTATTTAGAATTCAAGGCACACTTAAACAGCATGGCTACCACAGCATTCTGCAGCGATACACCATCCCATCTGTTTTGGGCTTAGTGGGACTATCATTTGTTTTTCAACAGGACAATGACCCAACACACCTCCAGGCTGTGTAAGGGCTATTTTACCAAGAAGGAGAGAGATGGAGTGCTGCATCAGATGACCTGGCCTCCTCAATCCCCCAACCTCAACCCAATTGAGATGGTTTGGGATGAGTCGGACTGCAGAGTGAAGGAAAAGCAGCCAACAAGTGCTCAGCATATGTGGGAACTCCTTCAAGACTGTTGGAAAAGCATTCCAGGTGAAGCTGGTTGAGAGAATGCCAAAAGTGTGCATAGCTGTCATCAAGGCAAAGGGTGGCTTTAAAATAGATTTTGATTTGTTTAACACTTTTTTGGTTACTACATGATTCCATATGTGTTATTTCATAGTTGTGATGTCTTCACTATTATTGTACAATGTAGAAAATAGTAAAAATAAAGAAAAACCCTTGAATGAGTAGGTGTGTCCAAACTTTTGACTGGTACTGTATATATGCCAATTTTGCAATTAGGATTCGTTATCCGTAATGGTTATGATAAATTAGGCATTGTTGCGCACTGTTGGCATATAGGTCAATGTGCAAACATTTTCCAGTGTGGGCCTTGTGTTCTAAAAATAGCTTTTTTGAACAGTCAGAATCTGTCAAACCCAACCATGGGCGGCAGGTAACCTAGCGGTTAAGAGTGTTGGGACAGTAAAACGAAAGGTTGCTGGTTCGAATTCCCGAGCTGGCATGGTGGAAGAATCTGCCGTTCAGCCCTTGGGAAAGGCAGTTAACCAGCAACTGCTTCCCGGGCGCCGATGACAGAGTAAGGTAGCCCCCCCCACGCCACGCCTCCAATTCAGAGGAGTTAAAATGTGGAAGACACATTTCGGTTGAATGCATTCAGTTGTGCAACTGACTAGGTATCCCCTTTCCCCATTAGTGGGGGAAATGCCAAACTGACCCCAAAGTCAGCATTTATGGGAAACTTCACCTTACTCCTGGGGACAGCAGAGGGCGTTTAGGAGTAATTACTGCAGTACAGTATTCGAGGGTCAAATTAATGGCTGCCTTTAATAGCTCAACATTGGTTAATTGTAGCCTGGTCCCAGATCTGCTATAATGTTTGCTATGACAAGGAGTTGACGTGATAACACAAACAGATCTCGCAGCAGGCTAGTTTAATAGCAAGTAGGTTAGTAAAATCAGGAGTACACAACTCAAGCACCCAGACATGAAATTCATACGGTGCAAAAGGCACTAGTTCAGACGACTGGGGACTCAATAACATGTTGTGCTATAGAGCTTTGGACCTGGGAGAAATAGCAACAGACTAACCTGGTCCCAGATCTGTTTGTGCGCTCATGTCACGCTCGTCACTCATTGTCATGACAACCAGACTGGTCGCCAGCCCCGTCACCAGACTGGTCCCCAGCCCCGTCACCAGACTGGTCCCCAGCCCCGTCACCAGACTGGTCCCCAGCCCCGTCACCAGACTGGTCGCCAGCCCCGTCACCAGACTGGTCGCCAGCCCCGTCACCAGCCCCGTCACCAGCCCCGTCACCAGACTGGTCCCCAGCCCCGTCACCAGCCCCGTCACCAGACTGGTCCCCAGCCCCGTCACCAGACTGGTCGCCAGCCCCGTCACCAGACTGGTCGCCAGCCCCGTCACCAGACTGGTCGCCAGCCCCGTCACCAGACTGGTCGCCAGCCCCGTCACCAGACTGGTCGCCAGCCCCGTCACCAGCCCCGTCACCAGACTGGTCCCCAGCCCCGTCACCAGACTGGTCCCCAGCCCCGTCACCAGACTGGTCCCCAGCCCCGTCACCAGACTGGTCCCCAGCCCCGTCACCAGACTGGTCCCCAGCCCCGTCACCAGACTGGTCCCCAGCCCCGTCACCAGACTGGTCCCCAGCCCCGTCACCAGACTGGTCCCCAGCCCCGTCACCAGACTGGTCCCCAGCCCCGTCACCAGACTGGTCCCCAGCCCCGTCACCAGACTGGTCCCCAGCCCCGTCACCAGACTGGTCCCCAGCCCCGTCACCAGACTGGTAGCCAGCCCCGTCACCAGACTGGTCCCCAGCCCCGTCACCAGACTGGTCCCCAGCCCAGTCACCAGACTGGTCCCCAGCCCCGTCACCAGACTGGTCCCCAGCCCCGTCACCAGACTGGTCCCCAGCCCCGTCACCAGACTGGTCCCCAGCCCGTCTGTAAGCTTCTAGTACAGTCCTTTAGAATGTCTTATATTTAAAATACCCATTACTGTAGGCGACAATACAGTATATTCTTCCAAATCGGGACACGTCTGTACTCAGACATACTTTCGCATCAGTCAATTGACTCAAAAATGGCCTTTTTGGTTAGTTCTGTAATTAAACGCATCAGGAAAAGGCTTAGACAAGGCATGTGTGTCCCAAATGACACCCTATTCCTTATGTAGTGCACTACCCTTGACCAGAGTCCATAGGGTGACCATTGGGCTCCGGTCAAAGGTTGTATGCTACAAAGGGAATAGGGTGGTATTTAGTACAGCTCTTATCCAGTATAGTGCTCATCTAACATCAAGTTAGTTCAGCCCTCAAAAGACAAGCAATGCCCCAAACCTGAACATATTTTAGCATTACTGGTTAGTACAGGGTTTCCCGAACTTGGTCCTCGGGACCCCAATGGGGTGCACGTTTTGGTTTTTTCCCTAGCACTACACAGCTGAATTAAAAATAAATAATCATCCAGCTTTGATAATTTGAATCAGCTATATACCCCTTGGAGTCCCGAGGACAGAGTTTGGGAAACGCTGGGTTAGTAGTATAATTGGGTAAAAATACAAAAAGTTTACATTGGTATGCCAATCTAAAGGTAAATAAAAAAAATGTATATACATTTTCATCAATGGTTAATGATGCGTTAGTGGTATTGATCCTTAATGATTGGATGCAGGAGTTATGTACATTTCTAACTCAAAATATATTGTTTGAATTAAGCAACATGTATTTAAAAAGTCAAAAGCTATTTGGGGAGCCCTGAGAAATGACCATGAAGCCTTGAGTTGGTTCATACGTTAGTTATTCAATAATTAAAATGGTTGGTAGCATGGCTGCAGTGGCAGAAACAAAATGGGGGCTTGTCTACGTGCATGGTGGTAGTGTGTTCTACTGGTGGCGAGGAGGAACATTGACCGACATCCAGGAATGAGCATAGGGTATCGGTTGCAGTAGATAACACACACACACAAGCAATATTACACACACTCCTTTTAAACAGATACAAAACACAAACTAAAAATACACCAATTGTTTAGTAATTACATCAGGAAAAGGATTCTCGCCCAAATGGCACCCTACTCCCCATTTAGTGCACTCCTTTTGACCAGAGCCTATGGAGCCCTGATCATAAGTAGTGCACTATATAGGGAGCCATTTGGGACACATACTAAGGTCATCTTTCACTACATACGCTGGTTATCCTAACAATACCAGTGAGTCTCCCAGTATTGGGTCAGAAGGCTCCAAGTGGAAGACCAGGGGACTCACGCACCATCGATGCCCAGGCAGACCTCACCATCCTGGGGCCTAGATATCAGGTCTGCTCCCTTCTGGTGAACGGAGAACCAGGACATATCGTAGGGTCCACCACATCACATTATAAAAACACAAGTTCACAGATAACAGTCACACAATGGTAGATCTTGGTAAGAATGTGTGTCCAGGGGTTAACATCCATTACCCATCTCTGTAGGGACAATATGTGCTTTCAGACGAGAACAGTTCATTAAGACGACATAACGGTCTGCTAGCGGGGAGTGGGTGATTGTTGACGACATAACGGTCTGCTAGCGGAGAGTGGGTGATTGTTGACGACATAACGGTCTGCTATCGGGGAGTGGGTGATTGTTGACGACATAACGGTCTGCTATCGGGGAGTAGGTGATTGTTGACGACATAACGGTCTGCTATCGGGGCGTGGGTGATTGTTGACGACATAACGGTCTGCTAGCGGGGAGTGGGTGATTGTTGACGACATAACGGTCTGCTAGCTGGGAGTGGGTGATTGTTGACGACATAACGGTCTGCTAGCGGGGAGTGGGTGATTGTTGACGACATAACGGTCTGCTAGCGGGGAGTGGGTGATTGTTGACGACATAACGGTCTGCTAGCGGGGAGTGGGTGATTGTTGACGACATAACGGTCTGCTATCGGGGAGTGGGTGATTGTTGACGACATAACGGTCCGCTATCGGGGAGTGGGTGATTGTTGACGACATAACGGTCTGCTAGCGGGGAGTGGGTGATTGTTTAGGATATAACGGTCTGCTAGCGGGGAGTGGGTGATTGTTGACGACATAACGGTCTGCTAGCGGGGTGATTGTTTAGGATGTTGGTTTACCTGTCAGTGCAGGTCTAGGTCAGCCCAGAAAGACCGGCTTTGAGAAGGGGGTTTTGTCTGTTCGTTCAGCCACAGAATTCTCCCCTCCAGTCAGTCTGTGTTTGTGCTGGCCTGCCACATTTGTCTGGATGGCAACGTAGACTTACTTCCTTCAAATCACATCTATACCAAGAACAGGCATTTCCACATTCCACACCAAAATGGGGTTAGAGGTCAATTACACAGCAGATCCTCTAAGAGCGGACCAGTCCAGGAGGTCAAGAAAACAAAGCCTGGCTCCAAAATGGCTGCTGAGCTTCAGGTGATGAGCCCACTGGTCTATAGGCTACATCAGTTCATTATACTGTAAATGACCACATAAAATCTGGTCAATAATATGGCTCCAAAATCAAAATCCCCAAAATGGCCGCTGAGTTTCCATTTCTCTCAGTTACAGAGCAGGTCTTCCAGTGGAAGCCGGTCCAGGTCGTAGGAGAACAGGTCACTGATGCCCTCATCTTCACCCAGGCTGAGCAGGTAGTCGTCCTCCTCGAACGGGAGGGAGGGGGAGGGGAAGACAAAGGGCTTCTGGTCGACATCCCGGAGGGGGAGGAGGGAGACGGGGGTCACCGTCACTGCTGAGCATGCTGGGAGCCTGGACAGGGCATTGGAGAAACCAATACTGGCATTATCAGTGGAGTTATTACCCCCTGGTGAGAAAGATGCAGGACGAGAGAGCGAGAGAGAGAGGGGAGAGAGGAGAGAGAGAGCGAGAGAGAGAGGGGAGAGAGCGAGAGAGGAGAGAGATTGCTTTGAAGGAGTAGTTCATCCATTAAACAACCACAGAGATAGATAAGAGGACTATAGTGTCCAAAAGCCTGTTTTAGCATGGGCAGCACCATTGAGGACTTTTCCCATTTTGATGTAGTCAACTGGCAGGGACTTCCTATTGGTTAAAGAAGGATCACAGAATTCCATTCAGGTCATCAGGAGGGATGAGCCAATGAATTATACTCGTGAGGAAACATTCCATAACTGCAGATGGCAGTAAATCGCCAACCTTGGCTTTATACCGGTTCAGACAACACATTAGCTGGCAGTATCCACCCTTTCAGTTTGTTTGCCAACTCAGAAGTTTACATTTTAATCATTTAGCACACTGTTATTCAGAACGGCTTAAAGGACTAATTAGGGTTAAGTGCCTTGCTCAAGAGATTTTTTCCCCTATTCGGCTCGGGGATTAGAACCAGCAACCTTTCGGTTTCTGGCCCAACGCTCTTAACCGCTAGGCTACCTGCCGCCCTAGTAATAGGAAAAAAAGGACTACTTCAAAATGGAGATGGCCTCAATGATGGATACACAGATAGACAATGATGCCATGTCGAAGTCTATAGGCTCACCTTGTGACACCTTGAAGAAGGACGAAGAGGAGTTTCCATTGACATACGACGAAGAGGGGGGATGTACGTTTCCATTCAGCGCCATGTTGTTCAGCGGGGAGGGGGGGGCGTGGTCATCAGAGCATAGGAAGACTTCTATTGGACCCTGGGTACTGCTCAGGTGGACCTGGAGACTCTGATTGGACAAATAAAACAAATCAATCATTTCAGTCGTTCAGCAATTCAATAGCCAGCTGCATGGAATAGAGAGAACATTATCAGAGGACATTACCATAATCACTATCTGGATCCGTGTGTGTGTGTGTGTGTGTGTGTGTGTGTGTGTGTGTGTGTGTGTGTGTGTGTGTGTGTGTGTGTGTGTGTGTGTGTGTGTGTGTGTGTGTGTGTGTGTGTGTACCTCTGCAGGGTCTGGCACCTCCAGTCTGGTTTCAGCGGGGGCTTTGACCACAATGACCATCTGGTCCTTCAGACTAGGAGCCCTTCTCACATCCTCATAAGATATGTATGCAAACGTACCCCGGGGTTAAGGAAAGAGCACACACACACTCAGGACAAGAACACACACAGGACAAGAACACACACACACACACACACACCATTCCACCTCACACACAGCAGGGTTGTAAAGAAAGGATATTTCCTTGTGGGTGTGTCTTCAGTTATCTGTTGGAGGGTGCGTGTGCAGATGTGTATGAGTTCATCCAGTCTCTTCTCCTCTTGGGTCAACTCCAGCAGGTCTTTACCCACAGACCCAGGGGTCTGGCCAAAGACCACTCCCTCTGGAGACAGGCTACAGCCCCTGCACAGAGAACAGCACGTTAACACACACACAGAGAACAGCACATGTTAACACACACAGAGAGAACAGCACGTTAACACACACAGAGAACAGCACATGTTAACACACACAGAGAGAACAGCACATGTTAACACACACACAGAGAACAGCACATGTTAACACACACAGAGAGAACAGCACATGTTAACACACACAGAGAGAACAGCACATGTTAACACACACAGAGAGAACAGCACATGTTAACACACACAGAGAGACCAGCACATGTTAACACACACAGAGAGAACAGCACGTTAACACACACAGAGAGAACAGCACATGTTAACACACACAGAGAACAGCACACAGCACATGTTAACACACACAGAGAGAACAGCACATGTTAACACACACAGAGAGAACAGCACATGTTAACACACACAGAGAGAACAGCACATGTTAACACACACAGAGAGAACAGCACATGTTAACACACACAGAGAGAACAGCACATGTTAACACACACAGAGAGAACAGCACGTTAACACACACAGAGAGAACAGCACGTTAACACACACAGAGAGAACAGCACATGTTGACACACACAGAGAGAACAGCACGTTAACACACACAGAGAGAACAGCACGTTAACACACACAGAGAGAACAGCACGTTAACACACACAGAGAACAGCACGTTAACACACACAGAGAGAACAGCACATGTTAACAGCACATGTTAACACACACAGAGAGAACAGCACATGTTAACACACACAGAGAGAACAGCACATGTTAACACACACAGAGAGAACAGCACATGTTAACACACACAGAGAGAACAGCACATGTTAACACACACAGAGAGAACAGCACGTTAATACACACACAGAGAGAACAGCACGTTAATACACACACAGACAGGAGATAGATAATGGCGCCGGAGGGGATGGCTGCAGTTTTACGGGCTCCAAACCAACTGTGCTATTTTGTTAGTTTTTTTCGCATTATTTGTAACTTATTTTGTACATAAATGTGTGAGTAAGATATGACAAAAAATGTCACACCCAGTTAAACTAATAATGTATGAATAATTAGTAGACTAGAGCATTAGAATTCATGTGTGTTTATATCCCAGCAACAGAGTATAGACTGGTTCCCTAAACACACAGGGAGGGGGAGTGGAAGGCTGGCAGGATATTGTGAGGACGGCGATAACTAAGGAATGCAGCCTATGATAAGAACGTGTGTGTGTGTGTGTGTGTATGTATGTATGTGTGTGTGTGTGTGTGTGTGTGTGTATGTGTGTGTGTGTGTGTATGTGTCCTGATGGTCAGGAGGAGAACAGAGGAAAACATCAGCTAAACCCAGGTACAGTGGAAAGAATACAGCCCGCCTACAGGGGGGTGGGATTTTTCCTCTGACGTGTGCGTATAAAAAATATTGTACGACCATTTTGTTGCAGAATTCTCTGAATAAAGACCTGGCTATTGCACTGAGGCTCTGTCCGTTTCTTGATCCAAAAGCCTTACAACCTTTTGGGAGATGCACAGACAGACTGAAATAGTTAGTTAATCAATTATCTTAACATCTACCGAGAGAGTTTTCATCTATATTTTTCGTAGCTGTCTATTTACCACCACAAACCGATGCTGGCACTAAGACCGCACTCAACGAGCTGTATAAGGCCATAAGCAAACAGGAAAATGCTCATCAAGAAGCGGCGCTCCCAGTGGCCGGGAACTTTAATGCAGGGAAACTTAAATCCGTTTTACCTCATTTCCACCAGCATGTCACATGTACAACCAGAGGAAAAAAAACTCTAAACCACCTTTACTCCACACACAGAGATGCATACAAAGCTCTCCCTCATCCAATGGCATTGAGGAGTACACCACATCAGTCACCGGCTTTATCAATAAGTGCATCGACGGATTCATCCCCAGTGACCGTACGTACATACCCCAACCAGAAGCCATGGATTACATGCAACATCCGCACTGAGCTAAAGGGTAGAGCTGCCGCTTTCAAGGAGCAGGACACTAATCCAGACGCTTATAAGAAATCCCGCTATGCCCTCAGACGAACCATCAAACAGGCAAAGCGTCAATACAGGACTAAGATTGAATCCTACTACACCGGCTCTGATGCTCGTCGGATGTGGCAGGGCTTGCAAACTATTACGGACTGCAAAAGGAAACACAGCAGCGAGCTGCCCAGTGACACAAGCCTACCAGACGAGCTAAATGCATTTTATGCTTGCTTTGAGGCAAGCAACACTGAGGCATGCATGAGAGAACCAGCTGTTCCGGATGACTGTGTGATCACGCTCACCGTAGCCAATGTGAGCAAGACCTTTAAACAGGTCAACATTCACAAGGCTGCGGGCCAGACGGATTACCAGGACATGTAGTCAGAGCATACGCGGACCAACTGGCAAGTGTCTTCACTGACATTTTCAACCTCTCCCTGATCGAGTCTTTAATACCTACATGTTTCAAGCAGACCACCATAGTCCCTGTGCCCAAGAACACTAAGGTAACCTGCCTAAATGACTACCATCCCATAGCACTCACGTCGGTAGCAATGAAGTGCTTTGAAAGGCTGGTCATGGCTCACATCAACACCATCATCCCGGAAACCCTAGACCCACTCCAAATTGCACACCGCCCCAACAGAGCCACAGATGAAGCAATCTCAATCGCACTCCACACTGCCCTTTCCCACCTGGACAAAAGGAACACCTATGTGAGAATGCCGTTCATTGTCTACAGCTCAGCGTTCAGCATCATTGTGCCCAGAAAGCTCATCACTAAGCTAAGGACCCTGGGACTAAACACCTCCCTCTGCAACTGGATCCTGGACTTCCTGATGGGCTGCCCCCAGGTGGTAAAGGTAGGCAACAACATCTGCCACGCTGATCCTCAACACTGGGGCCCCTCAGGGGTGCGTGCTCAGTCCAGTAATCCCTGTTCACCCACAACTGCGTGGCCAAACACGACTCCAACACCATCATTATGTTTGCTGACGACACAACAGTGGTAGGCCTGATCACCGACAACGATGAGACAGCCTATAGGGAGGAGGTCAGAGACCTGGACAACAACCTCTCCCTCAATGTGAGCAAGACAAAATGAGCTGATTGTGGACTACAGGAAAAGGAGAGCCTTTATTTCATTTTGTAAATATTTTCTTAAAATCTATTTCTTGAACTGCATTGTTGGTTAAGGGCTTGTAAGTAAGCATTTCACGGTAAGGTCTACACCTGTTGTATTCGGCGCATGTGACAAATACAATTTAATTTGAGAACAGCACATGTTAATACACACACAGGAGAGAACAGCACATGTTAATAGAACAGCACATGTCAATACACACACAGGAGAGAACACATTTAAAACACAAATGGGAGAGAACAGTCAACACACACGTTGTTGAGCTTCCCTGTGAAACTGTATATACTCTTAGCATCGTCGTGCCGACCCCAATCTTAACGGCTCGGATATTGTCCTTCAGAGCATGGTTCCACCAACTATGTATTTCTAACCAGGCCAGTGCAATACAACTTGGCTCTGCACAGCAGTGTATAAATGTCATAGACAGACCCCCCCCCCCCCCCCCCCCCATACTCACATCCACTGGATGTTATTCTTGGACTTCTTCTTGACGAGACGCACCCCCTCCAGTATGTTGGTGATGTCATAGAGGCGTCTCTTCTGGACCATTAGGGCCTCTGCGGCCCGGTTGAGGTCCACCACCCCGTCACTGGACTGGGCCAGCAGCTGGAGAAACTTCTGGGTCAGGAGGCCCAGAGAGGTGTCATACCTGGTCTTCTCTAACGGGGAGGGAGGAGCTGAAGGGAGGGGAGAGGAGATGGGTTAGTTAACAGACAGGAGCTGGAGGGAGGGGAGAGGAGATGGGTTAGTTAACAGACAGGAGCTGGAGGGAGAGGAGATGGGTTAGTTAACAGACAGGAGCTAGCGGGAGGGGAGAGGAGATGGGTTAGTTAACAGACAGGAGCTGGAGGGAGGGGAGAGGAGATGGGTTAGTTAACAGGCAGGAGCTGGATGGAGGGGAGATGGGTTAGTTAACAGACAGGAGCTGGAGGGAGAGGAGATGGGTTAGTTAACAGACAGGAGTTGGGGGGGGGGAGATGGGTTAGTTAACAGACAGGAGCTGGAGGGAGGGGAGAGGAGATGGGTTAGTTAACAGACAGGAGCTGGGGGGGGGGAGATGGGTTAGTTAACAGACAGGAGCTGGAGGGAGGGGAGAGGAGATGGGTTAGTTAACAGACAGGAGCTGGAGGGAGGGGAAAAGAGATGGGTTAGTTAACAGTCAGGAGCTGGAGGGAGAGGAGATGGGTTAGTTAACAGACAGGAGCTGGAGGGAGAGGAGATGGGTTAGTTAACAGACAGGAGCTAGCGGGAGGGGAGAGGAGATGGGTTAGTTAACAGACAGGAGCTAGAGGGAGAGGAGATGGGTTAGTTAACAGACAGGAGCTGGAGGGAGAGGAGATGGGTTAGTTAACAGGCAGGAGCTGGAGGGAGGGGAGAGGAGATGGGTTAGTTAACAGGCAGGAGCTGGAGGGAGGGGAGAGGAGATGGGTTAGTTAACAGACAGGGGCTGGAGGGAGGGGAGAGGAAATGGGTTAGTTAACAGACAGGGGCTGGAGGGAGGGGAGAGGAGATGGGTTAGTTAACAGACAGGAGCTAGAGAGGAGAGGAGGTGGGTTAGTTAACAGGCAGGAGCTGGAGGGAGAGGAGATGGGTTAGTTAACAGACAGGAGCTGGAGGGAGGGGAGATGGGTTAGTTAACAGACAGGAGCTGGAGGGAGAGGAGATGGGTTAGTTAACAGACAGGAGCTAGAGAGGAGAGGAGGTGGGTTAGTTAACAGACAGGAGCTGGAGGGAGAGGAGAGGAGATGGGTTAGTTAACAGACAGGAGCTGGAGGGAGAGGAGAGGAGATGGGTTAGTTAACAGACAGGAGCTAGAGAGGAGAGGAGGTGGGTTAGTTAACAGGCAGGAGCTGGAGGGAGGGGAGATGGGTTAGTTAACAGACAGGAGCTGGAGGGAGGGGAGATGGGTTAGTTAACAGACAGGAGCTGGAGGGAGAGGAGATGGGTTAGTTAACAGACAGGAGCTAGAGAGGAGAGGAGGTGGGTTAGTTAACAGACAGGAGCTGGAGGGAGAGGAGATGGGTTAGTTAACAGACAGGATCTGGAGGCAGGAAGGCACACACACTTGAGAGGTCCAGGAAGGTGAGGGAATTAATGACAAGTGATCTGTGAATACACTCAGTGCACACACACACACACTAGGCCCAGGGAGCAACAACGTTCCTAAGGCATGGGTGTGTCATTATTCCTCAAACAACCGTTGTCTGGGGATTTGTCATTAGAGGAAGGCTAGACCGTCTCTGCACACCAAAATGTTCTCTGCTCCCTTCCTTCAACTTTAAGTTACAGGAGGGGTTTCAGTCGGCCATGACTGAATGAAGGAAGAGAAAGACTGGGAGTTAAGAGCGCTCAGTTGGTAGAGCATGGCACTTGCAACGCCAGGGTTGTGGGTTCGATTCCCACGGGGGGGCCAGTATGAAAACGTATGCACTCGCTAACTGTAAGTCGCTCTGGATGAGAGCTCCTGCTTTATGACTGAAATGTCAAATGAACCCCATGCAACATAGCATGGTAAATACACTACCCCCAGAATGTCCCCTCCCCCCACTCTTACTCTTGGGTCCTCCGAGGGACAGCATGGTGGCTCTCTTAGCTCTGGCTGTACAGTTAGTCTCACTCGTGTGGTGGTGATCGCCCCCTTCCAGCTCCAACCGACGCTTCGCCTCAGACACAGAAAAACATTGGTACAAAAAAAGGTGAGAATCTGGATGAAACCGAACAGTGAAAACGTGGATCACATCAGAGGGTGCATTACGTTAGTCCAGGGTCACGGTGTGACCATCACAGGTGTAAAACGGCAGGTAGCCTAGTGGTTAAGACCGTTAGGCCAGTAACCGAAAGGTGCCCTTGAAAACACACCGACTGCGTCATTGCGTTTTGGGACACCAGAAGTACATTCGTGTCCAATGGAACGCTGCGTTTGCCTTGCAGCATTGCGTTGCAGAGTCAGTTGCAGTGCGTTCTGTGTGGTGCATACGTTGGATTTATCGAACGTTTGCGTAAAACTGCATGCGTAAACGGATTGACAGAAATGGTAGCAGAAGGTGAATGTTGAACTTTTGTTGCACACATATCTTAAATGATGCTGCATACTATTTTGCGCAACGACGCAGTCGGTGTGTTCAAAGCGTAAAGCGCTCTTTTGAGCTGGACAAGAGCGTCTGCTAAATGACTAAAACGTGTAAAAGCTAGTGGGTGATTTCACCATTCAAAAACCAAGAAGCACCTCTGTGAAAGCACCAAGATGTTCCCACCACCTGAGAGAGTAGGAGACAGTTAAACCTAGTGGTCATATTTACGTCGGAAGGAGACAGGCTGGCAGATCTATAGAGCAGACTGCTGGCCATAGCACCTCTCCATCCACATGTATGCTTTGTTTCCTTTACATAGGTACATTGGTTGTTGCTTGACATCTTTGAACTGTGGTCAAGTATGTTTTGGTTGGAGTCAGTCCACCTCCAGTGTTGGTCGGTGCTGTTTAAGATGAGGACTATTTTTTTTTTAAATTAACATAGTCTTATTTCCATTACAGCATATTGGATGACTGTCATTCATATTCCATTCACCCAGCTCAACGTAACATCAACAGGTTTAGGCTACTACATGATACTCAAAAGTTTCCCTATACCCATCATGAGGTTGCTACAACCTAGCCTTTGAATGAAAGTTTACACTGTAGGTGCCCAGGTCGAGAGACATTTGAGTCATCAAGGTGACAGACAGTGACACATTCAATACCGCCTTGCACACTATTGCCTGCTTCTAGCTGATCTAGGGTGTAATCATTAGTCCAACAGTTGGAAACGAGAGTTTCTATTGGACAAATTCAGGTATGTTTATCCCAGTTTTCGGTTCAATTGCTTCCGTTTAAGAAACGTTTCTCAATAGAATCGTCAGAATGAATACACCCGATCACACGCAAACAGTTCACTTTCATAGCAGCCACATACAAACAGCGTGATATTTTGATCGTTGTAGAATTCCTTCTCGCATCTACGCGCTCTCCTCCGCTCACCTTTTCCCAACGCTTGTGGACTTCTGTGCACAACACAGCTGTCTGTGACCAGGTGGAAAAAAACTTTCCAAGCCAATCCTACATATCATAACCGCTACACAAGAGCCTACATCGTTGTCACCATATTAATGTCATATTTACATTTACATTTTAGTCATTTAGCAGACACTCTTATCCAGAGCGACTTATATGAGCAATTAGGGTTAAGTGCCTTGCTTAAGGGCACATCGACAGATTTTTCACCTAGTCGGCTCGGGGATTAGAACCAGCAACCTTTCGGTTACTGGCACAATGCTCTTACCCACTAAGCTACCTGCCACCCCATATTCAACATAGCTACAAGAAATAACACGGTAGTAAACCCGGTACAATCACGCAGTACAGTCTACAGTCAGCAGCAAGCAGTTTAGCAGTTACACCGACAGGTCACGGTGGCAATCAATTCAGAAAACCTAAAGCTTACCTTGACTTGGAAGAGCTCCAGTGTTGGATAGCCATAGCCAGCTAGCTAACATAGCATTCCTCCCTGAGCCGGGTGTTTGAGTAGGCTAAACTAGCTATATGCATTCATTAGCTAAGTAAGTGAAAGTGACAACAAAAAATACAACAAAATATAGCTAGCTCTCTTTTGCTTCTTTTTTGAAAAAATTAAATTTGTTCAAAACTGTTCAACTATTGTCTTTCTCAGAGTCAACTACTCACCACATTTTATGCACTGCAGTGCTAGCTAGCTGTAGCTTATGCTTTCAGTACTAGATTAGATTCATTCTCTGGTCCTTTGATTGGGTGGACAACATGTCAGTTCATGCTGCAGGAGCGTTGATAGGTTGGAGGATGTGTCAGTCTATGGAAGGGGGGTGAGAACCATGAGCCTCCTAGGTTTTGTATTAAGTCAATGTACCCAGAGAGGACGGAAACACCATGGTGCTACACTACAGAGTGCTGTTGAGGCTACTGTAGACCTTCATCGCAAAACAGTGTGTGTTAGTTATTTGGTGACGTGAATATATTTAGTATAGTTTTATCAACAACAAAAAAGGATAACTAATGTTTCACTATTTTTTATGAAATTCACTGAGGGTGGTTCTCCCCTTCCTCTGAGGAGCCTCCACTGGTCACCACCCCACCTTTCTGCGTTTGCCTAAATTATTTCTTAGTGCGAGTTCATATGAATCGTTACAACTCAAATGTGCCGTTTGTGGGATGCAACTTGCATGTGCATGCTGCCAAGATATAAAACTTTCAGATTTACACCACATCACAACAAATCTGAAATGTGTTGTACTTCCTCGTGGTATGACTCCAGGTTGGCTAGCAACAATGCGATCTAGCCACGTCACAGATTGACAGTAGATACACGGAAGATGGTTCCAGTACTTTTAGTTTTATGACAACGAGGGGACTATGGTAAGTCATTACATTTGTCCCCACAGGTGCTCTTTGAGCCGCTGGAGCAAATGATTACAAATGGGGGGGAAACAGCCAGATAAACTTGCTTCCCCCCAGTAAAGGGGTCCTCTGTAGCTCAGCTGGTAGAGCATGGCGCTTGTAACGCCAGGGTAGTGGGTTCGATCCCCGGGACCACCCATACGTAAAAATGTATGCACACATGACTAAGTCGCTTTGGATAAAAGCGTCTGCTAAAATGCCATATATTATTATTATTATAAAGCACTGGGAGTAGATTCACCCCCCATCCCCATCAAGCGTCGTTTACGGCCAAGCTTGTGGTGTTAACAAATCATCCTTTGCTTTAGACAGCCCATATTTACATTTACGTCATTTAGCAGACGCTCTTATCCAGAGCGACTTACAAATAGGTGCATTCACCTTATAGCCAGTGGGATAACCACTTTACGGGGGGGGGGGTTGGGGTAAGGGGGGGTAGAAGGATTACTTTATCCTATCCCAGGTATTCCTTAAAGAGGTGGGGTTTCAAATGTCTAGCTAGCTAGCCTGAACAGGACACGTTTTTGTTTGTCGATTATTTTTTTATGATTGGCGGTTATTCTTACAATATCAGTTCTGCAGGTCAAAACTTTGGAAAGTTGCCTGCTATATGGATAACGAAAAAGTCGGTGGCTTTCAGAAACAAAAATACGCACGGATAGTTAGTTAGCTGTGCCAAACAACATCATACTTAGCTAGCTGTGTTGGCTATCCAACTATGGTGTGTACTTGATAATGAAATAGTTAGCTAACTAACTAGCCAGACCACTATCCTAACGTTAGCTATGGCTTTTCGGTGACCCTTTATAAATCCACTGCCAAAGTGGACAACTCAAGTTGGAAACGTTGCAAGTGGTTTATCACCCAAAAAAACACAACGTTAAACATACAAGCAGAAAGAGTCAAACATGTCACCTTTGCAATAATACAAAAAAAGTAGTGTATTTAGCTAAAAATCTAGCTAGCACTGCATCCAACTAACAATAGCTAACTAGAGGCGATAGCTAGCGAATGTTACTACAGTAGCTAGTTCGTTTAATACGGGGAGCTTAACGTTGGCTAGGACAAATCACTGGTTAGCCAGCACTAGTTTGCGAACAACGTTAGTTGTTAGTCAACTAACTAGTTGGCAAGCTAAATAGCCAGCTTGCATTAATGTGACTGCCCGGAATATTGTATGCCAAAAGAACCATCGCGTTATGAATTACCGGGGGTCTTCCGAGGGCTGGTCTCTGTCCCGTCCCGTTTGTAGATACCCCGATGGGGGTAGTGTATAGCTGACTGTCGGTCGGGTCTGCGACACCGACATTGTTAGTCTGGTTCGGCCAGGGCGGAGGGGTTAAGATCTGATCATATGTCGCATTGGTGTACTGGGTCAGAACCGTGTGTTTTTTGTCCATGGAGGAGCCCCCGACTCCTGAAATTAGGACTTTCTCCGAGACTCCCCCCTTTCTCATCTTAAGGCTCGAATGTCCGTTTGTCCCTCCGCTACTTTGGAGCACTTTTTTCTCAAAATCCGCATCGGTTCGTCCCAAAATAATCAGGGATATCGTTAGACTAATATCTTATCTAGCCGTTCGTTAAAATGTGATAAACGATACGTTTCTAAAACAGGAAGATGCAACGGATTTTATTAGGTAGCAAGTTCCATTTCGGCCGCTTGAAAAATGGCTCCAGGAAACTGATAATGAATCAGTTTATTCTCGAAGGGCCCTCCCGCGAAACTCGGATTTGCCGGGAATTTTTTTAAAACAACATTTGCATATGGAATGCTATTGGTTAGCGTCTTAGAAATCTCCCCCTATACGTATTGCGTAAGCGTGTCTGACCAATGAGTGAGGATTTTCTCGACACACAAGGCAGTGTCATTTGTTTACTTGGGGTGATTCATTAATCTGGCCAGGGGCGCCTGGGTAAGCGTTATTTGCACCTGGTGAAAGTTGATTGCATTCGTTTTGGGAACCGGGCTGCCTCCTGGGCATGAGCCAGGTTACCCCTTCAAAGCCCAAATTGCCTCAAAACAAAAGTGAAGTAATTAAGCACCTGTAGTAATGAGTACGATTCAGTGTCTTCACATGCAAAAGTGATTGGTTTTGATAATAACGCTTTATCTGGGGGACTGAGCACGCACCCCTGAGGAGCCCCTGTGTTGAGGGTCAACGTGACAGATGTGTTGTTGCCTACCCTCACCGCCCGTCAGGAAGTGATCCTCAAAAAGTTATACAGCTGCACCATCGAGAGCATCCTGACCGGTTGCATCACCGCCTGGTATGGCAACTGCTCGGCATCAGACCGTAATGCGCTACAGAGGGTAGTGCGTACGGCCCAGTACATCACTGGGGCCAAGCTTCCTGCCATCCAGGACCCCTATACTAGGCTGCGTCAGAGGAAAGCCAAAATAATTGTCAAAGACTCCAGTCACCCAAGTCATAGACTGTTCTCTCTGCTACCGCATGGCAAGCGGTACCGGAGCACCAAGTCTTGGTCCAAAAGGCTCCTTAACAGCTTCTACCCCCAAGCCATAAGACTGCTCCGGTACAGCTTGCCATGCGGTAGCAGAGAGAACAGTCTATGACTTGGGTGACTGGTGTCTTTGACAATTATTTTGGCTTCCCCCCCCATTTGTTTTTACACTGCTGCTACCCACTGTCTATTATCTATGTATAGTCACTTTACCCCTTCCTACATGTACAAATTACCTCGACTAACCTGTACCACCGCACATTGACTTGGTACTGGTACCCCCTGTATATAGCCTCATTATTGTACTTTTATTGTGTTACTTTTGATTCTTTTTTACTTTAGTTTATTTGGTAAATATTTTCTTAACTCTTTCTTGAACTGCATTGTTGGTTAAGGGCTTGTAAGTAAGCATTTCATGGTAAAGTCTACACCTGTTGTATTCGGCGCATGTGACAAATAAAGTTTGATTTGTTTTGAAGTCCAGGATCCAGTTGCAGAGGGAGGTGTTTAGTCCCAGGGTCCTTAGTTTAGTGATGAGCTTGGAGGGCACTATGAAGTTGAACGCTGAGCTGTAGTCAATGAATAGCATTCTCACGTAGGTGTTCCTTATGTCCAGGTGAGAAAGGTCAGTGTGGAGTGCAATAGAGATTGTGTCATCTGTGGATTTGTTGGGGCGGTATGCAAATTGGAGTTGGTCCAGGGTTTCTGGGACGATGGTGTTGATGTGAGACAAGACCAGCCTTTCAAAGCGTTTCATGGCTACAGAGGTGAGGGCATTTCATTTCTCTGTAGGTAAGGGAATCAGCTGAGGGGACTCATCTCTAGGTTCATCTTTCTGTAGGTGAGGGCTTTGTGATGGAATTTGTGGTCATCGCTTCCTTTTAGGTGGTTGTAGAATTTAACAGCTCCTTTCTGTGTTTTGATAACTAGCGGGTACAGTCCTAATTCTGCTCTGCTTGCATTGTTTGGGGTTTTGCATTGTACACAAAGTATATATTTCTGCTGAATTCTGCATGCAGTCTCAATTGGGTGTTTGTCCCATTCTGTGAATTATTGGTTGGTGATTGGACCCCAGACCTCACAACCATAGAGGGCAATGGGTTCTATAACATGTTTATGTATTTTTTGCCAGATCCTAATGGGTATGTCGAGTTTTTTGTGGCATAGAAGGCCCTTCTTGCCTTGTCTCTTAGATCGTTCACAGCTTTGTGGAAGTTACCTGTGGTTTTTATGTTCAGGCCGAGGTAGGTATAATTATTTGTGTGCTCTAGGGCAACAGTGTCTAGATAGAATGCGTATTTGTTGTCCTGGCAACTGGACCTTTTTTGGAACACTATTATTTTTTGTCTTACTGAGATTTACTCCCGAGTGGCGCAGTGGTCTAAGGCACTGCTAGCTGTGCCACTAGATATCCTGGTTCGAATCCAGGCTCTGTCGTAGCCGGCCGCGACCGGGAGACCCATGGGGCGGCGCACAATTGGCCCAGCGTCGTCCAGGGTAGGGGAGGGAATGGCCGGCAGGGATGTAGCTCAGTTGGTAGAGCATGGCGTTTGCAACGCCAGGGTTGTGGGTTTGATTCCCACGGGGGGCCAGTATGAAAAAAAAAAATACAAAAAATAATGTATGCACTCACTAACTGTAAGTCGCTCTGGATAAGAGCGTCTGCTAAATGACTAAAATGTAAATGTAAAATTTACTGTCAGGGCACAAGTCTGACAGAATCTGTGCAGAAGATCTAGGTGCTGCTGTAGGCCCTCCTTGGTTGGGGACAGAAGCACTGGTCCCACTTTAAAAGACATGCAGATTATAAAAGCTAAAAGCCTTCTAAACGCACATAACTGTGCACAAATATCTGTAATCCAGGTCTGTCTAACGGCGCATACGGAATAAAAACATGGTGCGACGCATTTTAGCCAAAGCGCTTACAGTCATGGTACTGTGTGTATGGATGGTCCGGGGATCGACCATTTAGCCTGGCGTTACAACGCCGGCTCTATGGGTTGTAATAGGCCCAACGGATAGAAAAAAAAACTAAAAAAAAAGATGCACACTAACAGAAGTCGTAGATAAGCAGTGCAGAGATGAAATGAATGTAAAGAACTGAGGGCCAATTGACAGATCGTTAGAGAATGATCTAACGGCGCTAAGATCGATCCTTGTTGACAAGTATGTGATCTTCCTTTAAAAGACATGCAGATTTAAATAATTAAAGCTTAGAACACCAACGTGTCACAAAACACAAAGTAATGCAACATTAACAGGAACGAACTCAGATAACTGTGTGCCCAATGTACATTACATTGCTTGCTGTTTGGGGTTTTAGGCTGGGTTTCTGTATAAGCACTTTGTGACATCTGCTGATGTAAAAAGGGCTTTATAAATACATTTGATTTGTGACATAACCACCTATGTCAAATATGACATAAACCTGTGCTTTACAAAGGGTGTCATAAGCGCCGCTTAATAAAGGCTTTATAAATCATATTAAATTGAGGCTTCACAAAGCATTTATAACCTTGTCATGCATCTTGGTAGAGCATTGCAATGCCAGGATAGTGGGTTCGATTGCCGGGACCATCCATACATAAAAATGTATGCACACATGACTGTAAGTCGCTTTGGATAATTGCATATAATATATTACTCTAAAACATTTATAGGATTGCCCAACCTCTTTACCTCTTGGGTCCATAGCCGATGTTGGACCTGACCTCCAATGTTGTACTGCAGGATGACACACATTCTAAAGTGCAGTTATGCACAGCCAAAAAAACTTTGGTATGGCCTTTTCAAATCCGTTTTTATTTTTTCCCTAATTCTGTTTTTATCGCAAATTCCGTTTTCTCGGTTTTGCTTTTCCAGGTTTCAGATTTCAACAATTGTTTCTGGTTTTCCCTCAGTTTTTCCCACACTTTTAAAATAGAAAAACATAAAATATATATTTTGTGTGTTCACAACAATGCTTAAACCACATCAGGGGATGACTTTTGAGAGAAACGTTTTGGTTAGCGATGTTTCACAGTAAGTGCACGTGATGAGTTCGCAAATCAAATGCCCACTTGTGGTGCCACTGGACAGCGAAAAACAAGTAAGTTAACTTTTATTGATTGTAATTAAAATGTATTTGTAGTAGTTAAGTGTTGAGTTAGATTACATAGCTACCTCAATCGTTATTTCAAATAATTCACAGCTATTGCTAGCTAGCTAACGAAATTCCCCTAGATATAGCCACGTCTCATAGTCACGTCATGGGATTTGTAAATGAAAGAGGAATATAATAATAGGAATTGAATGGAGTTTCCCATCTCCCCATGTAGAGTATCTCTAGCGCAGCACATAAATACCCTCATCCAAATGGTGTGAAAAAGGCATTTCCCAACAGACCTGCTAACTTTCTTTGTCGCTACTTTAAGGTTGGAATCGACATGCAGTACCTCCAGCAGGCAGAGACCTCCAGCAGGCAGATACCTCCAGCAGGCAGAGAGGTAAAGAACCATTCGTCCTCCTGCTCAGGGACAAGCTGCACTATTCACAGCCCTGTGTAATGTTCAATGTAATTGCATTGCTTGACATTTTGAAACGTAATGTATTTGTAGTGTTTAAAAAAAAAAGTAAAACTAAAATAAATTAATGGTTTAAACATGTCTTTTAATGTTTATTTGTTTTAGCTGTTAGTGATAATTCCCTAAGTATTAATACATTTGTGTTTATGTCATTAAGCATTTATGTATGCGTTATGAATGACTAAAGGTATCTGACTTCATAGTAAGAACAGCGTCATGCGGTATAGAGTCTTTATGGATGTGTTATGAATGACCGAAGGAGTCTCACTTCAAACGAAGTATTACAGGACACTACATGAAGTGTCAATAAATAGGTAATTAACGTTCTGCTGATTTACGAAGGTTCTCTCATGATCCACAGATTACTGTAGCGTGTGAGAGGTATTTAAATGGGTTGATGGTCCTACAATACATGCATTTGTGTGTGTGTGTGTGTGTGTGTGTCAGAACCATGATGATTTGGAGTAGTCCAACCTGAGACTACCTCACCAGGTATTCCTCGTGTTCCCATGCTGGAGACCAGGGCTTGATTACAACCTGTTACAAAGGTGCCAACATTTTGTGGCTGATCTTTCAGCAAGGGAGTGGGTGAATGTGGCAAAGACCTGACTGGGTCCAGCACCGCTCGGTATGGCTCGTTAT